TTACCGATTCATTGTTGGATAGAAAAACATGTCATGTCATCTGCGAATGATACCAGCAATACTTCTGTTACCCCAAATGCTGATAAGCAGGGTTTCAAGTACTAATCACCTTGACGTGCATCCCTTTGCACTCGATATAACCGGTGCCATACATACTATTTAGCACACTACTTTTAACACCGGTCTACATAGTTGTTCAGCTTATTTATAAAACCTCTCCGAAGCCGAAGCTGTACAATACACCAAATAATAAATTCCATCCAACCAAACTTTTTCGAAACTAATATTAATAATTTGAAATAGTTTCACTTGAAATTTCCCCATAAGCTGCTGAATTCACTTTCCCGTGATTTTGTCTCGTGGAAGTGTCCTATCCACTTCATGACTAGAAGCTTTGTAGTTTTCATCTAGTTAACCCAATCATCAGTTCAACTCCAGGGTAACGTTATATATTCATTCTCCAATCTATTTTGCCATTCCATCACGACATCTATGTCAGCAAACAAGAATTAAATATGGACCTCTTAAAGACGATGTTTATCATGTTGATATTACTACTAACTAAACGATTGAAGTCAGTGACTGCTAAGTCAGCTAGCTTCAAACAAGTTCTAAATAGCTAACTGGACCAGCCAACACCGAGTTCTCTCTTCACCACTGGAGCAATACTCTTTTTCTCAACTAACTCTTATTACGTTATCATGGAAGGTTCAGTCTTTTCAGTCTCATTTATTCTCTAAACTGGGCAAGATTCTCATGCCCGATTTTTTTTTAATTTAGTACACCTTTCACCGCTCAGCTTAGCGAATTTCCCACGAAAACCGTAAATGATCTTTATCATGCCATCAATAAAATTTGACGTAACATTATGACAGAAGAGAGCTCTAAAACTTACATTGAAAATGTAATTTAATACTGACATCTTGCAAATAATAACATCAATTTGACTTATGTCAGGATTAAGTGTGAATAAACGAATTATCATAACTCTTGCAAATATTCTCAGCATTCCAATACATAGTACCCCAAATTCAGGTTACTTGTGGACAGGTAATTGTCGTAATGATGCGTCGATTTAATCTGTGTCAAGTACCTTTGTTTACATAGCTGTTGATGTGGTACAGCACCGAGTAGTTTTCTTAGTGAGATTTGACCCTATCTATTCAGCGGGTACGACCCACCCCATCCAGCTTGGCGGTTTCATTTTGGCAGATCTTGATTAAAGTTGTTTGCCCCCCGTAAACGGACTTTCCCAGGCCTTTGAAAACTGAATTATAGTCTGACCTTCCGCTAACAATATCCCGCGTGTTACACACGGGATGCCCACATTTAAGTTAAATATTAAATGCGTGCGTAAGATTTCAATATAACGTCAGTTGTTCATAATAAATTGCAGTTGTCCATTATACACTGAACTGTGTAAACCTAGGATGACTGACTCTGTGTGTATTGGTGATGTTGTATCACTATTTTCAGAACAAGGACAAAACTATGTTTTCAGTCAAGTCTCAAGGTACGTCATGGGTGAATTTTAATTCCGACTGTAGCATGACCGATAAATCTCCGCAATGTACTCTGCACGTATCCAGTCTGAAATACTTTTCTATGGGGTTTCAGTACTCTAACTAATTTTCATCAGTGACATTATTCAAACTATATATACAAATAATATGTGCAAACTCAAAGAAGGACTGAAATCACTTTAAGACGGGTAGAGGTAGAGCGGATTTGTTTGCAATCATTTTACAAGACTATACCTTTCTCAAACATCATTTGCTTTATCTCAGGACATCGAGTACGACGACCACCATCACGTTCTTTCAAAAAACGTATCAAGCTGTGACATCTAGTAGTCATCGTGATTTGATGCGGTTCAACCAGGCTATTCAATTATTCGGAATGACCTTTTTGCTTTTATCTTTGATGTCGTGTGTTGCTGATGATGATGATGGTGGTGAAGTTTATACCTAACCATCAGATTCACACACGAGTAATCCCGCCCAACTAAATGCAAAAAGTGTATTCCCGTTTCACTGATTGATATCAATTGTTGTAAATGTGCCTGCAATCAGTATTCCTGGTCCAGCTACTATTAATTGGATACAATGTACATTGTCAAATAACTTTGCCCGTGAATTTGGAATGTTGTTTTTTTTAGAATGACGTCTTCAGTACTGCAAATTTGTACCCAATCACATGATACGTGGCTTATCTCTTACCTCCGGATACGCGCTCCTTGTACATGTCAAGGAGTATGTGAATATCCGCCACTCATCGGATATGTGACATACCCACCAGTATAGGTACATATGTGCCAGTAGATTGTAATTTAGATTGACCCAGCAGTTGTACTGGTTTATATTTTGTAAAATCATTGGTTAAAACCGACTGGTCTATACTGCCACACCCTCAAAAGATACCACTGTCAACCAATAAGAAGGTAGTTTTTGATCTGATATGTTCTACGCAACAAAAACGCATGTCAGTTTCCTGCCCATAAATCTTTGTTCTTTATACCAATAGTACCTATACCAGAGGCAGCCTTCAATTTTGTGGCCAATCACCTCGCACGCACGACCATTTTCCGATGTTATTTTACCTGAAAACAAACTAAAAAAATAAACTGTTTGTACAAGGTTATGTTACTGGAGTGAAATGTTGCACGTGATACACTAAAATTACGCACATAACGTATTCTACACTTATTTTCTTGTGAATGTTACAATACTATATCTGGCTTGAACGGTTTCTATTCTTCGCGTCTAGCATTCATAGCACACAACAGTCTAGTAAGTTTATAAAATTAATAATTTAATGTATATTTGATGTTTTGTCAACTTTGAGGAAACTGCAATTTTTGTTACCCCAAACCATGCCTATTTAGTCAAATTAACAAACTACTAGTAGTTCATTAAGATTTTACATCGTAGTGACGTGTTATTAAACTATTCACAGGTGGCGCATACCTTTGTTAAATGTTAAAAAAAGTGTACTTTGAACATATTCGAATATTTAAATGAGTCGTATGTAAATCTGCATTGTGTAGTGATGAAAATCAGCACGTGTCGAACTGTTGGAACGCACGTGTGACTCCGACACGTAGAACATTAATTGCGCATGCGCATGTCTACTTTTCTCATTACTAGCGCCCCACCCCCAGCCCATGTGAAACTGCATAACGTAACGTCACTAAATAATGTGAATAATTTATATCAATTAATTCGCCTCAGAAAAGTAAAAGTAATTTCGCGTCAGAACAAAATTTAAAAGAAAATAAATATATAAATTTGCCCAATGGGCCAATCTAATGATAAGCTTCTCGTCCGATTCGTTGTAGCTGCGCACATACTGCACTCCACGTGCATTCGGGACAACACGGAAATAACCGAAGTATTCCGAACGCTGAAGGTAAGTTTTTATTTTATTTTATTTTATTTGGTGTATCACAATAAAGATTACTTCGTTAGTAATATAGATAAAGTCGTCTTTTATACACTTATAGGTCAAACATGCGGGTAACGTGTTGACCTAAAATGCCTGTGTGTGTGAACAAAATGACCCTAATAAACGTAAATACCGTATACACGGTAGCAGAACATATTGCGTTAATATGTTCATATAGTAAAAAGTAAGTTTCCTGTTCTGCTCTGATGGATTACACCTAACGGCATCAACGGCTTTGTGTGTTTTTTTAAATATACGCATAATGATACAATAAGGAAAATGTTATTTGATGAGCACTTGTGTATTCAGATTAAATTGGTTCATTGTTTTATCCAACCTGAGCTATACATGCATGTACGACTGCGTCAAATCTTATTGTACTGGTTGCAGTAGCATTTGTTCTGTTAGTGTGTTATCTATGGAAAGCCATGACTGTCTTATCCTACTCATTTACATTACATGATAGGCATTCACCATTACATGATAGGCATTCACCATTACATAATAGGCATTCACCATTACATGATAGGCATTCGCCACAACGTGATAGGCATTTATCACAACGTGATAGGCATTTACCACAACGTGATAGGCATTCGCCACAACGTGATAGGCATTTACCACAACGTGATAAGCATTTAACACAACGTGATAGGCATTTACCACAAGGTGATAGGCATTTACCACGTGATAGGCATTCACCAGTACATGATAGGCATTCGCCACAACGTGATAGGCATTCGCCACAACGTGATAGGCATTTACCACAACGTGATAGGCATTTACCACAACGTGATAGGCATTCGCCACAACGTGAAAGGCATTTACCACAACATGATAGG